CGAGCCCAGGAAAGATAATAGCATAAAAAATACAAAATTAGCCTGATGTCACAATTGATGTAGATGATGAAGACAATACTCTAGAATTGTCCGAGAAATGATAAATGATAAACCTGAAGAAGGATTGATCTTAACTCAATAAAAAATAATTAGAAAATTAGTAAATAATATTTTATGGCAATATTTTTATTAGAATAATTTAAATTTATTTTGAGTGAAATTAGGACATCTTTTAGAAGGGGGAGTTTCATGATTTTTCGGTACTGTTTTATATTCTTATGTGGAGTGTTTTTTTATCATATAAAAGTTATACTAGAGTGCATTAATCTTTTAATTTTATATTTTTTTATGAGAAGTTATTTCAATGATTTTTGGTGGATAGGAATAACTTCATATTCTCTTTTTGCTTCGTTTTTAAAATACTTAAAAATGCAATCATTTTGGCCATATTGGTTTTAAATTATTCACCTTTCTTTTGTATAACACTATTTATCATTTTTCACACTTTGGCCATGCTATACTTTTCCTCAAAATAGCTTAGTTTCATATCGGTCAAAAATAATATGAAATTCAAATTATTTTTAAATTATATTTTGTTTTTATCAATTTTCAAATATTCAACATTTTGAAGCTTAAATTTTGGGGTGTATCCTTTTATTAACGAAAACATAAAAAAGTAATCGAGATGTTAAGAGTTTAAAGAAAAATGGCACAACTGCGCAAAAAACTTAATCATGGTATTTAATCACGTGGATTTTGCCGTTGTGTAAAAACTTATTTTTTTTGTGTCATATATATATAATGAGGATTAATGGAGGTTCATTTGACCATAGGAGGGAGTTCCTCGTTTGTTTTTTTTTTTTTTTTTTTTTTTTTTTTTTTTTTTTTTTAGTGTTGCTCTATTGTATGTGTGCTTAGATCTCAGCATGATCCGTTTTAATGGGTTAATGCAATTCTGATGTTATCTTGCAAAAAACTTGGTTCCCCTTCTTTGAGATCTGCAGTGGACGGCAGCTTTCTGTGAGCTGTCGAAAAACCGACCCCCCTCGTGAGCGCTCCTCTCCATCTTCACCCGAAATTCCCACCGCCATTAACACTTCCTCCTCCCCCGTTCTGGACTGACAACGCCCGTGCCTTTCTCCGTCGCAACCCCCTGCATCCTCACACCTCCCGCCAAACCCATTTCCGTCCTGCCCTGCTCTCGACGGACTACGCCCCTTCTCCCCGTCGACAGCCCCTCCTCCTCCCGCCTCCCGCCAACCCACTTTCGTCCTCAGCCCCTGGCTCTCGACGAAAATGGCCTCTCTAGGCTCTCTCTCCCCCCAAATTCCCACCGCCATCACCACCGCGAAACCCACCCTCGCGATTACTCCCGCTCTCGACGCCGTGATCACCTCAGAACTCCTCCCGCCTCCCGCTGTCTACGCCTCTCCCTCCCGCCTCCCGCTGTCTACGCCTCTCCCGCTGTCTACTCCTCCCGCCGTGATTCCTCCCTCCTCCTCCCTCCTCCCGCCTCCCGCTGTCTACGCCTCTCCCTCCCGCTTCCTCCCGCCTCCCGCTGTCGACGCTGGCATCGACGCCAAGATAAGGTAAAGTCTGATTATCTTTTTTTTAATCTTTTAGGAGTTTGAAGGTGAGTAAAGATCATGCTTGTCAATGGCTGATATGGTTTCTAATTGAGGTAAAGTCTGATTGTCTTTTTTTCAATCTTTTTTCCTCAGTACCTTTTGCATTGTGTCTGCGATTTAGAATGTGTTCAGACTGAGACTTAGAAATTGTTTCATGTGTAAAGAACTACTATTGGAATTTGATGTTTGGTTTACACACAAATGGAGATATTAGGATGTTCTTATGTTGGTAGCTGCTAATTTCCATCCCCTGGATTGAATTGTGTATATGCTCAATCACTTTCGTTGACAGGTTACATTCTGTATAGATTTTGGCTCTCTGAAATTTTGTTACGGTTTTGTGCATATTGCATTTTTCTTAGTGTCCTGATACTAATGTTTCTGAATCCTGAGCAAGAAGTCAGCTACTTCAATTCAATATCACTTCTTGGACTTTTTGTATTGAAGAGATATACAAAATGCAAATTGGATGTGAGCACATGATAGGGCTTCTCTTATGGTTGTAGCTTGAAATTTCTATTCCCTTGATTGAATTGTGTATGCATTCAGTCATTTTAATTTTGTTCAGACAGGTTGCAGGTTATATAGATTTTGTCACTCTAATAATTTGGTAAAATTTCCTGCATATTGCATGTTGCTTACAGCCCTGACACTTATCCATTCTTTATTCTAAATAAGAAGCTAGCTACTTCAATTGAATAAGAGCAAATATATGTAGGCATAAAGCAGTGAGTACTGGTTACTCACAAATATAATATTAAAGTACAAGAAGCCCCCTTCATATATACCTAGTTTTTCAAATAAAAATATAAAACACATAGAAATGTGGCAATCCATATTCAGATGTGAAGTGCAATATACATTAGACTTGAATATACTTATGGCATTTTTTAATATACTTTAGACTTGAATATACTTTATAAAACACAATTTTTCAGGTTATCCATGGCAAGAAAGAGTTTCTATATTATGAAGAGAGGTCGACGATGTGGCATTTTCGATAATTAGGAGGAATGCAAATCTCAAGTTGATAAATTCCCAAATGCCTCCTACAAAGGGTTTGAAACATACGAAGAGGCTTTGCTTGAATGGGAGAAGCACACCATCGCTCGTGATCCAGCATCCAGCTCAAGCCATGTCCTGACACCAGTTCAATTTCAACAACAAATACTTCCGTCGGGGCATAATCTGGATGAGGACAAGGCAAAACTTGGGGAAACTGTTATTTCCTCCATTTATGCTTTTGTATTAGGTTCGGTGTTTACAATATTAGTGTTTCTAGTATGTATCATTGCCGTGTTTGTTGGTTTCTCCATTGCAAAAAACATGTGATGTGATTTGTGGATGATTCTTCTATGTGAGGATAAGCTTGTATAACTTGGGTCATTTTGTACTTAGTTTGAACTCAATTTTCACAATGCTTGAAGTCAGTTTGTCCTCAAATGTTAGCTTATTTGTGGTCATTTTGTGCTCTGATTAGTACATAACTGGTTCATTTTGTAATCAATCATGAGCTTGCTTGTTTTGTTTCTCAATTTCCAGGCTAAGGCCTACAGGGAGAGGAAGAGGGATTGATCTTGTTTGTTTTGTTGGGTTTTGCTTTGTGAGCCGTTTGTTTGGTTTGGGTGGTTATCTTTTATTTGCTGCCGTGGGAGAATAATAACAATGTGGTGTTGTTATCATTTATTTGAGTGAGTAAATGATCGTAGTTGCCGGTCGTGACGACTGAACTAAGTCTGCATCAGTGAATCAAAGAACATGTTGAATCAAATGAGTGACGAAATTGCTGAGAAGATCCAAATATGAAGAGCATCAACATGCCAAATAAAGAACACAAAATAGTTGAGGAGATCCAAATATGAAGAACATCAACATGCCAAATAAAGAACACATCCATTAAACATGCACAATCAACAAACTGTCTTCTAACTGGGAACCAAATAAAGAACACAAAATAGTTGAGGAGATCCAAATATGAAGAGCATCAACATGCCAAATAAGATCTCATATAACCAGAACTTGTACAAAACTAAATTGTCCCTCAGGCTACCATAATCAGTAACAAATACAACTATATAATCAGTCTTTCGAACACTACATAATCAGTCCTTCGAACACAAATGCAAGAAATAGCAAGGTACAAATTCAAGCATGAAATAGGAAAGCAACTATATAAAAAGCTAAGTAGATAAAACGCAATCTTCAAGCACTAATTAGTCCTTCGAACAGAGACTTCTCAGCTACCATGGATTTTGATGTGCTCCTTCTTCACAATGCCCGCCTGCACAACAAATGGAACCAAAGTTTCAGTGTGCAATGAACCAAAAGAGGGAGGACTGATTCGTTTGCATAGCTTACTGAAGGACATAACAAAGGTCAATGAACAAAACATACACACATAACTGCAGCCACATGGGGAAAGTACAACCAAAATGCTCCAAAAATGCTCCAAAATGCTCCTTAAAGGCTGTTACTTTTTCTATACATGGAAAACATTCATAAGTTGTGCACAAAAAAGAATTCAATTGAACGACAAATAAATATTACAAGAAAAATTCTCAAGTAACTTACCAACATCGGGCAACTGGTCTTATAGTGACCCAATTGTTGACAATTCCCACATTTTCGATGTTTTATATCCTTTTTTGATTGTGACTCTTCAAAGTCCACAAGCCTAGTCTTTGTATTTACATAACCATCAAAAAATGCATTGATACTTTCACTCCTCTGACTAGTTGTCATTCCTGCCCAAAATATATCTTTCAAATATGCATCTACCCAGTGTGCACGCAATCTGTACATCCTCGTCAACCAACTATCTACACTCTCATCTATATTAAATTTCTCCTTCATAATCTTCCAACGTTCCTCACAATTGTGAATAGTGCTAGCTCGATACCACTTATCAAAATATGTAGAAATCTCATCTCCATATTGTGCTTTCATTGGAAGTTAATGCTCGGCAATATGTCTGCCAATATGCCAAGAACAAAAACGGTGTCGGGTATTAGGAAAAACTTGTTTGATAGCTCCTCCTATTTGTGCATCTTGATCAGTAATAATTGCTTTTGGTGCAACCCCATGCATGCATTTTAGCCATTGAGTGAACAACCAAATAAAGGTATCCTCCTGCTCATCTGCAAGTAACGTACAACCAAAGAGAATGGACAGCCGATGATGATTTACACCTGTGAATGGAGCAAACGGTAGGCTCAAATGATTGGTTTTATATGTGACGTCAAACACCACTACATCTCCAAAACTTAAGTAAGAAGATCTTGATCTCCCATCAGTCCAAAACACGCTCCTTATAGTCCCCGACTGATCCAGCTCTATGGAAAAATAAAATTCTGGATCGATTTCCTTCCTATCTTAAAAATTCTTTATGATGGATATGCATTCATTGCCAATGTTGTTCTTCCTAATAGTTCTGATGTGATCAATACATTGTTGTGCAGTAATATATTCTTCATCAATACTCTTAGACACAACATTATACACTCGAGCAATAGTAGAAGGAGCCATTCCTTCTTCACTCAAATTTTCAATAATTCTCTTGCAAGTCTTCGAGAGATGGCTTTGCCTGTGGGAATAATGATTAAACACTTTATCAGGGCTCGATAATAAATGGGTTGGGTGCTCTGCCTCAAACTTCGTGACAATCCATGTCTTAGAGGAAGTCAACTTAATCTTCATTCTTGCGGGACAATCCACTCTAGTATCTGGACGGCGATTGACAAGTTTCCCACACTCTCTCTTATATGATAACCTTTTTCTCCCTGCCTTGTTACAAACAAAAACTTGAGAAATAATTTCTCTTGTCTTTCTTGACTTATCAACAGTTTCCTTACGGATTCCAAAACCCATTTTTTGCATAAGAATTATAATAGTTGTATGCCTCCTCCAATGTAGCAAATTCTTTTCCTTCGTATGGCGCCTTTCCTATGAAAGTCATCTCATTCGGGCCTACAAGAGCTATATGCAATTCACCACCAACATCCATGAGATTTTAGGTATCATTTTCACTTAGTCCAATGGGTAGCACATCATCTGTTTCAACATTCATTGTCCTCTCGTCGCCCTGAAACAATTATCAATGTGTTACAAACGTTGAGAAATTATATACTAATGATGCAAGTTTATAACCACACTGCAGTAAAATTGTTTCCAGGATTCGAAAGTATTAGAGTATTTATTTATTTACAGCCTATGGCACAACTAATTAGATCCATCGCTTGAAATTTCTTATCAATGACATGATAATTTTGGGTAATTATGAACAACAAAGAAAAATTCTTACTGACGCATGGAACTGCTTATGAGAATGTAAACCTAATAAAACTAGCACGTGTAGAAAAGGAACATTATCATATTAATGAGTACGGAACATTAAATGACAATAGCAACAAAACCAGTGTACAACATATTTTGAGGACAACAGAAACTGTCCGCACATATTCTTTTCCCCCTCAGAAACTGTCCGCAATTAGCATAATAACCCAGAAAAGCATTAGCATAATAACACAATTAGCATAAAAATTCAAGTCATCCCCAATTCACAGCAGAATTGAAATCTTAACAGGTTTTGTCGCGTTGAGACCAGAAATCACTCCAAAAATACCCAAATTGAGACTGTACCAAAAATA